GGTGCGCCGGGGGGAGGCAGGCGGCGTTGGGGGCGGTTTCCCCCGCCAGCCGCGGGGTTCGGTCTTGAAAGTCCCCGTGGCTGGCGACACCATGTTTGGTAAGATGAAAGGCTTACGGGAAAAATGGGGTTGGGGCTTGAATACGAATAATAGAGGTACATACAGTGTATAAAAATCATTAGTTTGCCATACTCCCTCCATCTGCTAAACGATCCAACAACTCCAATTTTGTTTCCAAGGACATCACTTTCCGTGCCCGCTTCACAAATTGCTCACCTTCACCACTCGCTGACATAGAGGCCATGATTAAGGGTAAAATGCAAAAATCACGAAGAAATTGGGGGGGGGGAAAAATGCGTCGCACCTACAACTGGATGGTAACGGCATGAACCACAAAGCAAGACTCTGTGAATGAGGAGATGGGAGCGCCACGGGTGGTGAGCGAGAGTGCGGGTGATTTGAAATGGCAGGTGGTGGGCGGATGTGCAGCTACAGAAAACCGTAGTTACTCAAAACTGCACATGTCACGAGCTTTGATGTGAGCAGCTAGGGATGCAGGGCCCCCGAGCCCCCCTGCACTGATCTTCATCGCTGGCAGGTGTCGTGGCTGCAGCAGGGCCTAGCAGCCAGGCCTGCAGTAGTTCCCCACCCCTGTGCCCCAAGACAGACACAGCCCCACAAGCACCCATGGCACGAGTTTTGCCAGAGGTGCAGAGCCCCCCTGCACCGATCTTGACAGCTGGCAGGCTTTGTGGCCTCAGCAGGGGCCACCATCCCTGCAGCTGTCACCCCGCTGCACTTTAACACATACAGCGTCTCCCTCGTTATGAGTTGTGCTTGTCTGCAGCTTGAGGTACAGTTTCCCCCAAACCCCTGCACCTATCTCCCTGAAACTGGGCAGGATTTGTGGCCTCACCAGAGGCCAGCACGCCTGCAGTTTTGACCCTGCTGTGGCTTAACACATGCACATGACATGAGTTTTGCTTTCAACACTTTGGGGTGCGGTTTCCCCAACCCCCCTGCACCTAGCTCCTTGAACTTTGGCAGGCTTCATGCTCTCAGAAAGGGCTACCATTCCTGCAAGTTTCATCCAAATCAGGCCAGAAATAACAAAGTTATAGGCTATTTTGCCCTTCCCCATTATAGCTTATGGGCAAAACATCAAAACAGCGTTGAAACAGCGAAATGTTTCAACTTGCCTCATTTTGTTTTGAGGCTGTTTCAACTATATCTGTCCTATTTCAATTCTGCTGTTTTGACCTTGAAATGGGACGAAGCAATGTCAAAACAAAACTGGTGGTGAAATTTCGCACAGCCCTAGCAGCTTCCCTTTTGTCAGAGGCATGGCAGCAACATCGTTAAAGCACCTCGCTAAGGATCCAGAGCTGTGGGCTTCAGCTCGTACTGGAGGCTGCCCTGGATCAAATCTGCCATAAATGGATACCCGGTCATTCATGCCTAGGAATCAAAGGCAGTTGGGCATGAGGCAAGCCACATCATTTCTATGTGGGACCACACTAGGACAACGGGTTGTCTTGGCTTGGCTGGATCTTTGACACCCCCTGCAACACACTTTCATGCAAAGCTTTAGGAAAATAGGACTCCTGTACATGTGCAGGGAGGCTGCTCAGATGTGCTATAAATCCAGTGGGTCAGAACAGACTCGATTAATTCAATCAGCTATTAGATAAAGCGCCAAAAAGCACCACTGATCTATACAGACGTTGGGCAAGCTGGGTCAAGCCGAGGTGATGCCTCTTCAGAGCATGTGCTGGGCTTGGTGTGGGTGCACTGAGCTGAAAGTAAAACACTGGCTTATTTTTTTTTCCATGTCTCTAAGCAGTAGGGGTGTGTGAAACAGCCCCTATTCGATTTGGATTCAGCCCGAATCAGGCACAGTGATTCAATTAATTGATTTGGATCGCTGGCCTCAATTCAATTCAGCTGAATCCGAAACTGAAGATTAGATGCTGATTCGGTGAATCAGTGATTCAGCCACAGACACAGCTTTACATTTTTTCTACATACCCTGAGGTACCAGGTGCGGCTCATGAACGATGCGATGCTGGGGTGGATGGAGCGTCCCACAGGAGTGTGGGGGGCCCCCGCATGCTTGGCAGTGAACCTGGAAGTGGACTAGAAGTACTTCCAGTCCATTTCTGGGTCCGCCAGGGACTGCGCAGGGGGCACCACTGTACCCGCCTAGCTCAGCGATCAGCTGCAGGGGGACCCTGGGTACCCATCCAGACCCAGGAGGCACCAGTCACCAAGACAGGGAGGGCCCCCACGCACTCCCCGGTAGACCTGGAAGTGCTTCTGGTCCACTTCCAGCTCTGCTGCTGAGCATGCTGGGGACGCTCCATCCACCTCACCATTGCAATATTCATGAGCCACCTGGTACCTTAAGGTATGTAGAAAAAACATTTAAAGCTGTGTCTATGTCTGAATCTTTTCAAATCTCTCTGAATCGATTCGGAGGGTTCCAATTCGATTCGGAAAGATTAAAGGGTCTCCTGATTCGATTCAGATTCGCAGATTCCGCCACCGAATTAGGCCGAATCTCTGCCAAATGGAATCAGCAACCGAAGCTTCACACAGCCCTAGTAAGCAGCCTTAAATATTAACATAATTGTGTCCACAATTGGGCTTTTAGAAACTTAAGCATTCTAGTATATAGGATATTCTAGAAATATACTCCCTAACTGAAATAATTAAAGCTGTATAAAAAATTCTATGTAGGCCTGAGTTTGAATTCAGCATTCCTTCATTCAAAACACAGGCGTGTCACTGAAATGCCTAAGCTGGACACTTCACCTGCAATCATAAGCTCTCCTCGCTGATTAGCTTGTCAGTCGGTACAGAGAACTGGGGCAGAATGAGCCCCATTAGCGGGGATTGAGAGTCGCTGCAGGGGAGGAAATGCAGTGCAAAGAAAAGAGGAGAAATGAAATGGAGAAATGGAGCACAGAGGAGGAGAAGCAAAGGACAGGCATACAGCCTAAGGGAGAACAGATTTTCCCACTGAGTGACGTTGAAGGCAGTTGAGTACAGTTATTATAAAACGCAATGTCAGTTAATCCATAAAGTCCCTATGCTCCTCTTGGTTTTGTGTAGTACTTTCCTTGACACCATGGAGTGCATCACTGTGTGCTGAGGTGATGCCCCATCCAAACTTCAGGCTCCGGCCCAGAAACCATAGTTGAAAGCAGAATGCAGCCCTTTCCTGTATCCCTTCTGCATTTATGAAAAAAGGAAAACTATGACAGGTTTCTGACAAAAAGGACAAAATAACTGCAGAGCATTTTGTCCCCTCAACTTGGTATAATAACACTCCCAACTCTATTGTAGGTCCAATAAAAGATATTACCAAACAAATCTTTTGGCGTTTGTACACACCACGGGGATTTCATTTGGTTTAATTCTACCTCAATTGAAGTGGTGGGGCTTTAAAAACAATGCTTCAGTTTATGGCAAAGTAACCCCGTGTGGCATGTACAACAAGGGTCAGGCCCAACCCTTACCTGCCTCTCCAGCGGTGGGGAGGGAAGGGCGAGCTGCTGGCAGGACGAGCGGTCCCTGAGCTGCGAGAGGGAGGGGTCTGGTGTTTCCCTCCATGGCAGCGGTGGCACCCCCCAAGTGGCACCTGCTTGCAAGCACCCAGCCTGAGCAGTCCCGGAGGGCACCACAGCTGCGGAGCGAAGCACCAGGCCTCCACGCAGCTCAGGCAGGGGAGGAAAAAAAAAAAAATCAGGCTTGCCACTTTTCTTTTTTTTCCCCTTCAGTGGAGCCTGCTTGCAAAGGCTGCTGCCAGGCTGCCTACACAGACTGCCTGCACAGCCCCTGAGATGCGTGGGGCCCGGTGCTTTCCTCCACAGCCAACTAAACCACCTCGGAGATCTTTCATTTTGCTGCGTCCAAAGTCATTTAACATGTATTACGCCATCGACACATGCAAACAGCCCACCATTAACATGCTTACGCCACTGACACGTGCAAACAGCTGCACCATTAAAGCGGTGCAAAAAGGCATTAAGTCACTTTAAAGGCCAATTTTGTGGCATGTACAAATGGCCTTGCTTCTCACCTATTCTCTGGACCATCGCAGCTGTGACACGATTTAAGCAGTAATGGCATTCTGAGGAACATACAGCAGATGGTGCTGTGGCGCTATTCAAACCATCCTCTGAGTGCAATTACTGGTATTTTGAATTTACATTGATTTCTCTTGACAATGTAATTTTATCTTAAGTCTTGAACAGCAAGAATTGTTTCCTTATGTGGAACTATAATGAGCTGATGACAGTTCCGACAGTACACCAATACTGACAAGCTACTATTATTGGCTAATGCTTCCTGTAATGCAGTAATAAGTGCAAATAATAAGGCCACGCTGGTTTTATTTGAGGCTAGCCCCATGTGGTGCTTGGGTGTAAACCCCTTCCTTAATAGCCTGTGAAAAGGGGAATTCACCTTGGGTTCCTTGTATCTAATGCCCATAATTATCAAATGGTGACAATGCTGCTAGAAACCCCAAAGGAAGTCAGGCCATGGTAGGGCTCTCCCACTGCCTGCAGTAATTAGGCCTAAGTAATTTGTAATGTTCTCTGATGGGACACCTCTTTGCTCTGCCCATCAGTCTTGGCGTTGCCTGTAGAAACATTTTGAGCACCTTCTAGCAGTAACTCTTACAGAAGGAAATGTCTTTTGAACAGCATGTAGTCCAGAACAAGTTAGGCATATCCCTGTTCAGAACATGAGAAATGAATCATGGTAAAGTGTGTTAGCAGTATTCCAGGCCTCTGTCATTCCTTAAGGAAAAAACAAACCTTTACAACCCTGTCGTATTTATACAATGCTTTGAGATCATTGGCAGAAAAGCTTCTAGAAAAACAAAGTATATTTTAATATGTATGTGCACTTCATAATTCAAGAAGGGCAAAGGATGTCATTAAGTATGGTAAATTATTCATGGATGGATTTCAACCCTTTGCTTGCTATTGCATCACCCCTCTTGACTTGTGCATGCCAATTAATAAACAGAGAAACCCAACTGCAAGAAGGTCTGAATCCAAAGCTCTTGCAGGGACATGAAGTTTGGAATGTGTTGCATTTTCTGGGTAGTTACTCATGCCTGAACAGTCCTGCCATGCCTTTAAACTATGAAAAATATACTCAAAGTCAAAAGGTGGTAACAATTTTGCAAGAGACAGCTCTTGAGATTTTAACTTTGGGTCCTCTCCAATTCATATTCAAATCAAAGGAAGTGCTTCCAGAATGGTTATGCAGGCATCATGCAGGTCAAAG